CAGAAGAGGTGGCACAGCACCAAAACAACAGGAATGAAATTTTGCTTTTAAAACCACCTTAAAATGTAAGCGACAGCTCCGCCATTTACAGTTTATATTGAATCAGCTCCTAAATGTATAGAAAAAAGGAGATTTAGAACATAAACATTGACACATATTGGTATACAAAAGCTCCAACTTTGATGATTTGTAATGGGTGTGGGTTTTGATTATGAAGCCACACACACGCAATTGCTGCATGCGTGTGGCTTCAGGAGAACCTTCCCCACTTGCCCATTCAAAATCAGATAGATTTGCTAATTGTTTCACCCTGACAAGGGAAAGACATCAAAAGCAGAAAGGCTGTTTTCTTCACCACTATGTCCCCAAAGACCACATGTACATTGGTAAGATCTGCCTGGATCGTGCCATCTTATCAATAGCAACCAGACCAAGCTTCGGAGAAAGGCCAACCTAGAGGCCCCCTTTTCCAAATGGAGAATCAATTTCACTAAGGGGGACAAAGAAAGCACCACCAAAACTCAGTTTGCGACCATTCATGGCTTGGATTTGTGTTTCACAGACTTGGCTCGTATGGTAACTGTAATGCTTGAGCCAGAGCAGCTGATGGACTCTTTTGCAGCAGTGAAGTCCCCTCTATTAGCACTGAGCAGATTCCTCTTCTCCCCCGGTGCCGGCATTTGGCGCGACTCACGGAGCCCCTCAGATAGTGTTAAAATTCCTCCCCATGCAAACCCAAATAAACCCCAGCAAGTTCTGCTTCCGTAGAGTCAGGAAGCTTTGTGCTCCTCTGCCCCTGACTTGAAAGTTATTTAAGAACTAATCAGCATGGTTTAACTTCACTGAGAAGATATGTACTGTGCAGGGTGAAGCAGCAGAGCTTCAGTGCTGGGTGAGCAGCTCCAGCTTGTTGAGCCCCTCGGCTGCCTGTGCAACCCATTTCCTCAGGCATAGGTCTGGGGTTGCAGGGGGAAGAAAGAGATGTGCAACAGGACCACAGCTGCCTACAGCCCTTGGAGCATCCTGCTCCGATGCCAACTTGGGAATTAGCCTTCTGATGTGTGATTCGGCAGCAGGAGCTGAGCTCCAACATCTGTGCTACTAAGCCCATTTCATATTGGGCCAGGCAGCTTTCAGCTGACCACAGCTCCCAGCAATCGCCTACAACTACACAGTCAGCAGAAGCGAACTCTCAGGAAAAGACAGTATTATGAACAATCAGGTTCATGTCCTTTTGCAGCTCCTGTACATTCCCCTTGGGGTCCCAGAAATTCCTCACAAGCAAGTGAACCAGTCTGCTTTCAGAGGGACCTCAAGATACAGCGAGGGAAACAAAACCATCTTACTGAGGCTCTGTAGCTACTCATTCCTGCTATTTCTACCCCCGCCCCTCCTCCTGTCCATATTATCTGCACAATTTCTCCTGGGACTCTTCAAGACAGGAGCTGTCTCCACATCCCTTGCCATGCAGAGGCACACAAGGAATATCCAAAACTTGGGCAGGGTAGGGGGTCCTGCATATAAACATTGTTCCTTGCATTCAAACTCTCTTAGCAGAATTCTTCACCATTTTCAAATGGGTATGTTGTGGTTTGCAAGTGGCTGTAAGGTGTTTATAGATTGTATCCTCCAACCTACTTAACACCTCCACCTGCTACAAAGAGACAGTTTAGCCGCAAAGAAACAAACCCAGACCCCAACAACACAGAACAACAGACCAAAGGGAGGCTGCAGAAATCCTCTATCTACCCACAGAAAGTTTAATTCACTGGGGAAGAGGGAGGAACAAAGACAAAATTATTTTCTAGATGAATTTAAGACACAGAGAAATGATTCTTCCTCAGTCACTTCCTTTGTACCCAGCTTCCCATCACACAGACAAGAAAGGTTTGTTACCCCAAAGCTAGTCTTGTTAACGAAAAAGTAAGAAAACCCACACACATTAGAAAACAAGCAGCTGTCTCTGTCTCCCATCTTCAGTACCCCACGATGCTGAGCAACCACCAAAGATATCTCGAGCACACAGGATGCACATTCACCAGGTGTTGCTGTGGTTTCAGCACCATCACGTGCCACTTCTCCTGCAGCCACCCAAACCATGCTTTGCTTTCCTACCTATCCAGCTATCTGATTAAGAATACAAACTGTGGTGCAAGGCTTGTACCTGAATTTGTAATTAACACTCTCCTGCTCCTACAACTTGTAAAAGGCAAATGGGTTGCCAGTAAAATGGAAAAAGAAATAAAAATAAAAAATAAAAAAAAAGGAGAATGGTGAAGATGAGACCACTCTAATAGCAGATTTTGGAAGAAATCCTCCTCATATACCCTCTCCCCTCCAAAAGCTGCACTGAAATTGCACTTCAGTTTCCTGCTTTTACAGCTTATTAGACATATTGTGGCTGACTATAAACTTGTATTTTTCATTCATTTTACAAAGCAACAACGCAAAGTGTTTGCTTTTTCTTTTTTTTTTTTAAAAAAAAAGACCTTTTTTTCCTACATATGCTGGTGAAAGTAACTTTTTTCCCATTCCAAGACAGCTTTGCTCTCTCTGCCATGGCATAACGAGCCAAGGCTGCTTCGGTCATAGATGGTCCCTGTCCCGGGTCCGGCTGCATTCCCCAAAGGATGCATCCTGTGGGCAGTTTGCAAGCAGCCGGGTCTTTCCAAGGTGTAGAAAGGATTCAGTGCCCCAGGGCGTCTTTTTAATCCTGCCTAACACCTCCAGGCAACAGATGCATCAACAAGAAGCGGCTTTGTCATGCAGATGGCAGGGGCGCAGGTACACACTGCACTGCTGCTCCATGCACAAATGGCCAGTGGCTGACACCACAGGAGACACCTCCACCTCCAGCGCTCGCTGATCTCGGCTGCTCCTTGCCCCTGACACATCCCCCAGGAAATGGCAGCAACAGCAAACCTGTGGGGCAGTGATGGGGAGCCCATGAAGGTGAACACAGGGAGCACCGTACGGCATTGGAGCGGTGGTTGGCCACGAGTGAGCGTGTCATCTCCTGGATGCAGCATTTTGATCTCGCACGCATTACAACCCAGCTGTCAGCTAGGAGACTAACAAAGATTATAGTTCAATTAAACAAAGAGATTATTTAATAACTCAAGCGTGTAGCCTTGTGGTTAAACTGAATGAACTCCAGGCTTATGTCAACATTGCAGCCCTGCAACAGCACTATTTCACCGAAATAGTGGTGCTGCTCTAGCATGCAAGAGCAACACTGAACTAAATTAGCCCCTCAGATG